CAACAGTATTTTCATGAAAATGAATGCACAAATGTAAAATATCTTGTCGCTTGAAATTTAACAACTGCAGGCTTGTATAGCTTGTATTTCTCCTTACCTTAAGATCGTGTAACCTAATGTTAAGTGCTGATTACACAACGAAGCAGCTCATGTGTACCCTTTGGTAATGTTACGCGTTTACAGTCAACTTTTGATTAGAAGGAGACATATGCTTCAATATAATAGGTATAAGCTATGAGGGATTTTTAAACTTGGCTGTTACGCCAACCTTATGTTTATTGACCACGTAATTGGCCAGAATGCTCATTTTATTATGTATTTCTTTATCATTTTTCAATTACTAACTTACGAAAATTGATTTGTTGCCTGTTTTTGATTATGTTGCTCAGTTTTTGCTTTAAAATGCGCTAACTGTCAGCGTCGTAAAACGATTGTCCCGTTGAATGTGTGGTGAAGCGGAATAATAATCGAAAAGCGTATCTGCCGTTTGTCTGTACCTTATTATGATTAAGAATCTTTTGGAGATTGTCGTACTCGGCGATCAATAGTGCGTTAGCATGTGTGTCGGTTCGCTGTGCTACATTTGCTAATTGATTATGATTACATACGTGAAACGCGCAGCTGAAACTCCGGTCTACGTAAAAGGATATTAATTTTTCACGTTTCCATTGAAATCCTCGAAATGCTTTAGGTCTTTGATGTCCTGGCTGGTTGCGTTTCGCTAGCTTCGATGAATTGACTGCCTGAAGTGCTCGACTTCTACGTCGAAAGGACGACATTCGGTAGAACAGTCGTGCTGAACAACTTCCACTTTTCGTTGTTTCTCTGATTTTTGCTTCGTGCTTGACGAAATATTTTGCGATTCCAAGTTCTGCATCGGCACGCGAAAAAAATAAGCGAGCAAGTTATCAGTAACATTTCAATCATTTTTGAAGAGCAAGTAATGTGTGATTTTTTGGCTGTTTTTGTTTAATTTTATTTCGGTTTATTCAGTTATTTGATTTAATAAGTCTGATCATAAAGCTCATGTGGCTAAAACCTAAGGGTCGTTTAAGCCGATTTGTAATTCATAACGATTCATTGCCGCCATTCATAATGGGTTAAAATAAGAAATGTAGGAACGAGTTATCCGATGGAGTGGCTCTAGAGAAAGGGAAAATTAATCTATAAAGTCTGTCAGTAATCACAATCAGACAGCGATTTTACTTATACACTAACGCACATGCTCTGATAAGGAACAAACTGGTTGTCGTCCGAAGCATCTGCTCGGAATGAAGTCTTTGCTCAGCAAATCTTATGTATGCCGATGACTATTGTATTGGTAATCTAATGCGTAAAGCAAGACTAAGAAAGGGGTATTGGCTGTATGTTCAATTATTCGTCAGTTAGTGACCTGAAGATTAGAAATCGGAATGTAGATATGCCTTCCACTCATTGCTGCATCACAGGACGATCTTTGGAAGCTTCTGTAATAGAATTCCGTCTGTGACGAACGGCTCTGCGTCATGTCACTGACGCATTGGCTTGTTTTGTTCAGCTTTTGAATCAACAAAATCTTGCCCTAGTACTTTAGCGTTAGTACAATTTGTTGAGCTTTATGGTATGGCGATTAAAGACATTGGCCCCTTTATGTGTAAATATGCGGTATGATTTTGTGACCTAAGTTTCTATCAGTTTCTGGACTTCCTGCTATGCACTTGAATTTTCCTTAAAGATATAGTATATTTTGATAATTATACATGAAAATAAACATCGGTCTTATGGATTTACTGGCATGCTGCTAGTTTTCGATACCACCGTAAAGAAAAAATTTTTTTCTTTTACTACCGGATTTACACAGGTACAGGCACCATCCACCTGCCTCGCCTGGATGCAAAAACGCATGATTTGATAGTGCTAGTGCTACACTGAATAGATTTGCTTCCAACATTCCTAGTTGAACTTTCTAAATCGAATTCCCCAAATTCCTAAATTTTATATTTTCTGCTATTTTTCTTAAAGGAGAAAAAACTTTAAAGTCTGTTTCTGTGAACCAATCCAAATGGATCAGATGTGGATGACATAAAAAATCGGAACTGATTTCTGACCATGCCAGGTTTTATGCATTCAGTATGTACTTTGAATGAATTCAAGACTAATCTGTTTACTTTGAGCAAAGTTAATCAATATCTTTATGGATGTTGGTTTATGTCTACTGAAAGAAAATTTCAAGATATCTGACCATTAAAATCGCCTATCTCACATCAGCCATTACGAATCACGGTTTTACTTCCCTGGTTACAGCTAGCTACTCGTTGTTATCCCCAGTTAATTGGTTGACGGTGTCTCCTTCATTACTACAGGTCTGGTACGTAATCACAGCGTATTTCTCATGAACAGTTTTTCTTTGCATGTGTATTAGATTACATTTTTTATAATCACAGTAGACAGCAAATATCCACTTTTCGGCTGTTCCAGCACTTTGGCAAAATACAATTATGCACAGCAACGAAAGAAAAAATGTTTACAACACATTTGAGCGTAAATTTTCACTGAATTCGTGAAGTTCTTCAGAGTTCAGATATTGAAGTCTGCTTTCGTCTCTTTGCCGTTTTGAGGGTGCATGGCAAACTTCTACAGTTGCTGCAGTCCTTCGGTAGAAGTAGCCCAATGACAGTTCTCTTTGACTCACGATTCGGCGCTCCAACGCTTTCCCGGTTTCTACAGCGTGAGCAGGTGTAGACTTTTGGCAAACCGCGTAGGTGCTCAATTAATTATTTACTCATTAGCTTAATTGCCAGAAGTCGGCTGGTTGAACAGCGCTGAATCGACTGAGAAGATTGGTGTTATTTGAAAAGCACTTGTCTTCATTTCGCTTTGACCATAATTTCATGCTTAAACATTCTTGTTGTTGGTTACATAAGTTAAGACTGCAACGAGATTACGGCAAGATTTTCCGCTAGACTTGATGTTTGAGAATCGCTTCAGAAAATCGATTAGTTCACGAGTTAATTAACGGTTTACGCTCTTGTGATTTTTATGACGTATGTGTAATTTTTCCTATTGTCTATGGCTAAACACAACTTCATCATCACGGCTGCTCAAAGTAGTATGTTTATCCTGCATGAAATGATAGATTATGTCTATTTGTTGTATGTTTCAGCCTCCAGGAGTCACCTTCCTCTGCTCAGTACATAGATGGTAAGAGGAAAAGAATTTTTTCCACTTACCTTCGACATTTGGACGGGCCACTAGTCGCACAATGTACTTCTTCACATGTTTGCATTAAAGGGTTTCTTACATGCGCATATTTGTATATTATACTCTAGCAGAGCATAACTGTGTCGGGCAAGGGAGCAGATTTCTGTTGAATCTGCCAGCTTCCAACCAAGATGATATGACATTCGCAACCTGATCCGTATTGCGACATTGCTCCGCTGTTGGTGTCTGTAAGTATAGAAACCTTTAAAACAAATTTGGAAGAACAAGGATACTCTGTAACCTGCTGCCCGTACAGATTCCCTAAGAAGTATGGCAAGTTCTTTTCGTCGTAAAGCTTACGTTTGAAAGCTAGTAATGCGTTTTTAAAATTTACTTGTAGTACTAATACCGTGTTTTGCTTCATTGTTATATCGGCCTTGTGGTGGACTGCTTTAGTTGTTTTTTTGTTATGATCATCGCCTTGAGCCGTTTATATTAGATTAACATCTTTGGTTTATGGTGATCGCTACTTTCTCAGTTTTTCAACAATTTTGCTAAGAGGTTCAGGTTTCTGTATAGTATAAAGAATAGTTGCAGCGGTTGGTGAAACCTCTTTCCCGGACTGCTCACCAAGCTCACATCAGCTGTATATTCTTGGTCAACAAGATATTTGAAATTATACCTTGATGTTTGTCTCCCCTCATAAAAGAGACAAGACCTTTATCTTTGCTCCAGTCAACATTGCTGTGAAGGAAAAACATGTGGTCTGTTTTATTAGGTATTTATTACTGTTCCTTTAGTTTTGCTTAGTATATACTGCTGATTCTACTTTACACTGTGTATTGCTTATCTTACAAGTATAAGTATGTATAGCGCGTATAAGTGCAAAACAATTTCAAGACCAGATTTCACTGTGTATTGAATATCATAGTTTTGCTCGTTTTGTCTAGTGGACTATTTAAGCAAATCACGGCTCCATAATGTTTGATCACCTACAGTGTTATTTCCATTTCAATCATTCTGTTGCCCAGGACAAAACGTTGCTCGTTATCAGCGATATTTCATTAGCCGTTTTTATGCATATTTCACTTCATTGTAAATAACAACAGTTATTTCCTACAAATGGGTGTATTATATAAATTGTGTTATAGGTGCGACTAACCAAGGGATCGCTATGGCGTGTACTTCTTTGGAAACCGGCATCTGTCACAGTGTGTTGGTTCGTCGTAACAATAAGGGGTTCGGCTTTACGCTGAAGGGGGAGTGCCCTTGTCGAATCAACACGGTGCAGAAGAACAGTGCTGCCGCGTTGGCAGGTTTATGTGCCGAAGACATGCTTATGCGAGTGAACGAGATCGACGTTCGTCGCCTGTCCCACCGCGAGATCGTCGATATGATCGCGGACGCTGGTTCGGCTGTACTTTTGGCAGTTCAGTCGCCCGAGACCCTGCTTAAAAAAAGCCATAGCAGCAGACCTGCCATGCGACAGCAGCGTTCTGAGATCGCTCCAAAGGTAGCTGGTCAGAAGAAGCGGGGTACTCATCGCAGCTTTTCTTCAACCACCTCGTCGTCAAGGAGTGAACGGCCTTCCAGACTGCTGCTTGCGAAGGGATCAGAGGTGGCTGTTATCCAAGAGCCTACTGTCAAGGAGCAAAAACCTCATCCTGATGCCTTCGAGATGGTTGACACGATGGGGGTCATGTTGCGGTCATGCAGACGAAGACGCTCGGTACTGGCTCAGAACAAGTGTGCCAGCGCGCCGGTGTTTGGAGATGACATGGGTGAGACATCGTTGATCGTCCATGCAGGCGACCCGTCATGCTTAGACAGCTGTTCGGATGATTCCGACGAAGATCAGTCGTCAGATCTAGTGCTCAAGGCGGTTTTAGTTTTTATTGGTGCCGTGACGGTACCCTCTTTGAGTACGCCAAAAAGAGTGATCGTTC